AGGGGGAGAGAGAATCCCAAGCAGGCTCCACACTCAGCATGGAGCCTGTTGTGGGACTCAATCCCAAGACCCTGGGATCATGACCTGAGCCAAAATCAAGAGTTGGACACTTAACCAAGTAAGCCACCCAATTGCCCCTTAAATCTTAATTACCACTTTAAAGACCAGTGCCTCCAATTATAGTCATATTCTAAGGTACTGGGAGTTAGTGCTTCAACATATGAATTTTGGGGAACACAGTTTAGTTCATAACATCCATTGAAATTGGTAAGCCTTTTAATTCGTGTGACTTGAAAACAGTGAAATGTGGTTATCATTGATTAAGCATGTCACCGTGCACTAGGCACTCCTCATACATTAACTCAAAACCACAGGATGAAGTCAGGACTAATATGTCACAGAGAATTTTTTCAGTTGGCAATGAACTTATTTTCAGTTAAGGTGTTGATTCGAATGGTTGAATGCACAAAGGAAATTATGTAATGAAAAACATTTCTTTAAACCTGAACAATTCCCCCAAAAATGTTGCTTAGTTTAGTATTTGAGCAAATGCAAATTAACACTTGTTTTTAAAACCCAGAAGAATCTAATAACAGATTTATTAAACCAATTCACATTCGTTATAGGCTAGGAGCAGGGGTGACAGAAAACTAATTGACTTTAAATAACTCGCCTTTACGCAGCTTCCTTCAAAGTGTGTTCCCCAGTGTCAGATTCTCTGAGGTCAGCCACTTCTCATTCATAGGATATGCAGTGACCCTTTATAGGAAAAGACACATTTTCCCTTTCTTTGCCAATGCATTTTTCTTTAAAGGCCTTCTTTCCCTTTCCTGCATCATTCTGACACTGAATCCAAATAGGTAGCTGAGTACCTATTTTTTTTTAATTTAATTTATTTTTTTAATTTACAATCCAAGGTAGTTAGCATATAGTGCAACAATGATTTCAGGAATAGATTCCTTAATGCCCCTTACTCATTTAGCACGCCCCCCCACAACCCCTCCAGAAACCTTCTGTTTGTTCTTCATATTTAAGAGTCTCTTATGGTTTGTCTCTCTCTCTCTCTCTGTTTTTATATTATTTTTGCTTCCCTTCCCTTATGTTCATCTGTTTTGTCTCTTAAAGTCCTCATATGAGTGACGTCATATGATATTTGTTTTTCTCTGACTAATTTCGCTTAGCATAATACCCTCTAGTTCCATCCACATAGTTGTGAATAGCAAGATGTCATTCTTTTCGATTGCCGGGTAATAGCTGAGTACCTATTTAACAGAATACTCTGTCATTGTAACAGTGAGCATGAATTTTCCTCTTCTGCCTGCCTCACACTTGCACCCCACCTTCAGGGGCTCCAGATATGGGATATGTAGGGTCCACTCCAACTTAAGGACTTCTTTTTAATAATACTGGTTACTTTGGTACATTTGGAGATCCAGATGTGACATTATTCTCTTCACGAGCATTTGTTAAGCCTCTTTGTCATTTCTCCACTTTTATTGTTTACTAAAGCTTTAGGTTTCAATAACTTACGCGTCATGAATTTAGTTAGATTCCTTTGTGCTTTTGTAGAAGAATCACTAGGAGTCAGACACCCATGGGCACAGATGCCTCTCTGAATTTTCTGTCTCCATTTGTTGAACAGAAATAACAATTCCCACTTCAGGAGGTTCTTGCTAAGGCTAAAATAGCTAACCTAATCGTCAGTATCTTGTTCAGTGCCTGGCATACAACAAATATTAATTCATTTTCTTTCACTCCCAGCAACCTAAGTACATAGTCCAATTATTTAAAGTCCCTAGGTTTTTTGTTGTTGTTGTTGCAGAATGCTGTTGCTATAGCAGCCTGGACCTACTTCTATTTTCGAGTGTTTTGAAAAGTTGTAAGATATTCATCTATACAACTGGCCTGTGAATATTAAATGAGCATTTATACAGTCTCTGTCACTGCTAGGTGTCCCAGGAAACAAAAGAACCTAGACTCATTGCCAGGAAGCCAAAATGAGTTTACAGTCTACTTACAGAGAGAAGATGTAGTCACATGAAACCATTAATAACTAGACATTATTTATTATAATCACCATTCTAATAAAAATAAAGTGCTCATATGTGCTTCCATGGACACAAAATGTAAAAACAAATAAAAGTTAAAATTAAATTAAAATTCAAAATGTGAAGCCTTCCCAAATGAGGGCATTGGCTGCCATCTTTGAAAGGTCATCTAGTAGACCCATTAACCCCCAAGTCATGGCCTGGCTCTGGAGCTGTGGCATGGAGAATGGGGGTGGAGGAGCTTTCTAGAAAAGATAGTGAGCATGGGGTGTGGGCTGCAGTGAGAGGGGGGAATGACTGAGAAATCTGATTGGGCAGAATATGTCTTAGAAGGTAATGCATGAAACACTAAAGACACCAAGAGTGAGAAGAGCACTATATGATGAAAGCGTACATATAATACTACGGATATTAAATGGGGAGGACACATGACTGAGCAACAGAGGTTTAGTCTAAGAGTAGATGCTCAATGACCTGGAACACGAAGAAAACCTCTAGGAGGCAGATACAAAAATCCAGGTGTGAAGTGATGAGGATCCACGCTAGAGTGGTAAAAATGAACCAAAAAAGTGCCGAAGATCTAATCAAGACTCTGTGTTTTTAAGTTCACAAATGCCTTTTTTGATATAAAAAGGTACTTTTATACAGAAAGATGATAAAAGTCTTTCGTTTCGGTATCTCAGCAGGATTCCTCCAAACAATTTTACTTTTCATTTTGTCTTTAATAAAAGATTAGCAGTCGATGGCACTGCTCTGTAGAAGAGATCCTGTTTTTCACTTTTAAATCACATGGCAAGTAAGATAGGATAATAAGTATCTTTTGGGATACTTCTACTCCAAAGACAAATATTTGGGTTTAGCATAATTTAGCAGGAGATACAACTTTTATTTTCATTTCCAGATGTTTGTAAAATGAAGGATGATATATGTGGGGCTATGTGGGAAATAATATATTCACTAGTTAAAGTATTTTATTTCTGTTATCAAGGATTTTATGGTTACTAAGGGAAATAAGCATGCATGTTTTGGGGCTGTGATCTTGTGCACATCTCAGTGAATTTATATTAATGGAAACAAAAGAACTCATCAATATATACATATGGAGTGGGAGTTTGGAAAAATTTACTTAGATACTTAAAAATGCAAAAAGTAGTATATGATTATATCTTGCAATGTGTACGAATTTTTTTAAGTTTATTTATTTATTTTGAGAGAGACAGAGAGAGAGTGCAAGTGGGAGAAGAGCAGAGAGGGGGGGGACAGGGGATCCAAAGCAGGCTCTGTGCTGAGAGCAGACAGCCCGATGCAAGGGCTCAAATTCACAGACCTAAGATCATGACCTGAGCTGAAGACAGATGCTTACCCAACTGAGCCACCTAGACACCTGTAATGTGTACCTATTACTTGCTTTCTAAAATGTATCCTATGTAATTGTGTTTAAGATCTAACATTGTATGTTTACAGAAATTTAAAAAACGCTTTTTCTTTGATCCCTTCATGCTATTCCCATAGAACTTTTCCTCATAAAGAATGATTTAAGAAGTTCAAAAGAAATGATCTTCCTTAGAGAATATTTTTTTATTATTTTATAATTTTATTTTGGCTTGAGTATGTATAGTTCTACATTTCTAAGTATGTGGTATAACTTCTGTGTTGGTATCCAATGAGACATAAGCTGATTAACCTTTTAAGAAAGCATTCATTTTTTTTTTCAATTTTAAGGCATTAAAGATAAAGATAAGTTACTAAAATCTTTTTGATTTTTTATTCTTAAGCCATAAGTATTTTTAGTTAAAATTTATTTTGAGATATATCTTTATTTTGTTTGTTTGAAAATTTATAAATTGTTACTGCTTCATAGAACTATTCTAAGCACCATGACGACTAGAAATTGCAAATTATTCCCCTTTTAATTACTACTAAGGTCTTGTAATTTTAGAGCAAAGTGAGCATTCAACATTAATCAAAGTAATTGCTTTCTTCCTTTAAGAATTTCTTCAAAAATTATATATGAAGACTAAGTGCCAGGAAATGTGCAAGGTATACAAGATAACTAAGAAAATTTGTCATGAAGTACCTCTCACAGTGAATGTCAGGCGTAGCTATAAAACTGTGACAGTAGAGGGGCATCTGGGTGACTCAGTCAGTTAAGCGTCCAACTGTGGCTCAGGTCATGATCTCGCAGTTCGTGGGTTCGAGCCCCGCGACAGTCTCTGTGCTGACAGCTCAGAGCCTGGAGCCTGCTTCGGATTCTGTGTCTCCCTCTTTCTCTCTACCCCTCCCCCCCCAAAAAAAATAGATAAACTAAAAAAAAAACTGTGATAATAGAGTTCAGATTACTACATGAAGACTGAGAACAAGAGATTGTGCCACTTTCAGTGACTCTGGAGCTGGGTGCTGAAGGATGAGTAGGAGTTTGTTAGGGAGTAGCAGATAATGTCATTGAGAGGCATGGGGGGAGAAAGCAGCTATAGCCAAGGGCCCAAGCTCCTGGGGAATGTGAAGGGTGGGGGAAGGCTTTGGAACAAGGAGATTCTGGGGTACAACTCAGCCCCACAATCTGATATTCTATAGTATGAGAATTCCTTTAATAATGTAAAAATAGGGGCGCCTGGGTGGCGCAGTCGGTTAAGCGTCCGACTTCAGCCAGGTCACGATCTCGCGGTCCGTGAGTTCGAGCCCCGCGTCAGGCTCTGGGCTGATGGCTCAGAGCCTGGAGCCTGTTTCCCATTCTGTGTCTTCCTCTCTCTCTGCCCCTCCCCCGTTCATGCTCTGTCTCTCTCTGTCCCAAAAATAAATAAACGTTGAAAAAAAAAAAAATTTAATAATGTAAAAATAAAACTTTTGTGTTTTATACCTACTAAAACCTAAGCGATTCATGGACTTAGTTAGACGTTAGGTGTTTCTGCCTTTGTATTATCGCTAGACTTACATATTTATTATCTTTTACAGTAAAGTTCAGCAACTGCAATGGGAAAAGGAAAGTACAGTATGAAAGCAGTGAGCCAGCAGATTTTAAGGTGGATGAAGACGGCATGGTGTATGCCGTGAGAAGCTTTCCCCTCTCCTCCGAGCATGCGAAGTTCCTGATTTATGCCCAAGACAAAGAGACTCAGGAAAAGTGGCAAGTAGCAGTAAAATTGAGCCTCAAGCCAACCTTACCTGAGGATGCAGTGAAGGTGGAGTATCCAAATATGGCTTCGGAGCCATGTTCAAAAATCTGGTTTATTCAGTTGGAACTAAATATGTACCTTGCTTTATACGTCACCTTGGCCAGTATTTGAATTTTCATCAACTTCAGTCACTTCAATAGTATTTTGTGGATTTTTTTTTTTAATCTTACAAGATACTTAGACTAAATGTATATTTAAGCTATCTCAAACTGTGTTTGAAAGGGTTGTTTATACTTTGAGATTTAGAACTTAATTTAAAATTAGAAGCAGTTGTTTGCTTTAAATTTCTCAGAAGCTTTACAAGCTGTTAAATATAACCAGAAAATAAACAGTTCTTAGCAAGATGTCACCAGTCAAGTGTATTAAGTGGGAAGTACAGATACACAGTACAGTAGCAATAGAAAGCATTTCTAGCTAGGAATATTGGGTTTTTGTCTTGCCCCTGAATAATCAAATTGGGGAGTATGAATTATTTAAACTACGGACATAACTTTTAGGAATGATATACTCCCTCTGGTGGAAGCTGCTATAAGCCAAGATAAAATAAATAGATACACTTACAACAAAAGTACAGTTGGATTAAATGCAACAGACATTTATTGAGCACTTGTTTTGTATAAGTCACTATATTAGGAATTTTAGTAAGACACAATAACTTCTTCAGTAAAGCTATGATAACATTATTAGTTTCTGAATATTCTAGTTCGCGCTGAGTTAATTTGAGACAAATAAGGGGGCACCACAATCATCTATTTTGAAGTCCATAATTTCATGAAGTATAACTATTACATTTTGTATATTTATTGTACTTTGGGAGATAGGAATACACACATTCACTTCTGCCGTTTAATTGTAAATGTCTTATACACACCCATAATCAAATAGGAATAAGTATATCAGTGGAAAAGATAGCATTTTTCTCTTGCACCAATGCTCGACTTTCATTATATGAGATGTAGTTTATTAATCTATTAACTGTTAAGGGGAATCATGTCATTTGGGGAATACAGAGTGAGAAGCTGGTAACTAATTGAGTGAAAAAACACTTTTGTTGTTGATGATTCGCTGTGGTCCAGCAAACCAGCGTGGATATTTGCACTGAAGCAGCAAGGGCTAATGGCTAAAGTGTCTACAGATATAAGGGAAAACAGAAGAAAATGTTGACATCCAGCAGAGATTAATACCCAATGTGCAAAGTGGGTCATCTACAGCATCCATCATGGCTGACATAGGTTTAGAATAATTACAGCATTAATTCTGTGGGATTTAATAGGGTCATAAATATTTGAGACATGCCTTAGCAGTATGTATTAAACTTCTCCTGGAATTCAAATTATATTTTAGCACATCAAGATCTAAATTTAATGTACAGTAGCACATTACCTGAACTGTGGTTTAAACTAATGAGAGATATATAAAAGGGTACTATTAAATTGTGCTCAATATTAACTCCTATCTAAGATGGTTTATAGAAACTGCAAATAGTTTACACAGCTGTGCTACATAATAAATTGTTTGGAATTCAATTCTTCAATCGTCATGGTAGCCGCTAAATTTTATGGTGTTTTCTATTATTTTAATAGAGGGATGAGGAGAGGGCCTCCAGGCATATTTTCTTGTTCCTGACAGTGAACCCTTCACTGTCAGGTATCCATTGATATTGCTGTCCTTTCAGAAAATGTTTTTCCTAGTACTCAGCAATGTCTTGTTGTATTTTAATGGAAAGGAATCACAAGAAATTGAAGAAATAGTATTCCCAAGACAAGCGACTAAGCACAATGGCCACCTACAAAGGCAGAAGAGAGACTGGGTTATCCCTCCAATCAACTTGCCAGAAAATTCCAGAGGACCTTTCCCTCAAGAGCTTGTCAGGGTAGGCTGGCACAATTTTAATTGTCTCCATGGCATGGGTCAAGTATACGTTAGAAATGTTTTTGTCTGTTTTATCACAAGATAGAGTTAACAACATGTATTAAAACTCTATGTTTGTGTGTAGATGAAATGTCTATAGTGTTGCAGAAAGCCTCTTTTTTTTAATTACCTCAGATTATTTATAGTTAGAGCTAGCTCTCTGTGGGTCCCATACACCATGGACGATGGAGTTTGTTGCATGTGTGAATATATAAGCCGTAACTCCAACATGTATGCACACCAGTACCATACCCTTTCTCACAACACACATACACATCTTCGCTTCCGTGTCTGAAAGCCATGCTCTCCATGATGATCTTTGCCCTCTATAGATAGCTTTTGAGCCAAAGAAGAAATAAAGGGACAATCATTGCTAAAAATGCCAGCATTGAGTGCATTTGAGAGTTCTTTAAAGAAAAAAGAAAATGACCTCTGATACCATTAACAGAATCCCTGGGGCTGTGCAAAAACATAGGCTTTTATAAATCTGAGAAGTAATTTTTTTCCGGTTACTCTAAATGCGTACCATCAGATGTAGCGAAAAAGAAATCACAGATATTCATACATGTTTAGTAAAATTAGCAACCCACTATTTATTGCAAAAGGAAAAGGACAGAGTTATTGTATATCGATTTATTAGAATGTACATTTGTGTGTGATTAATTTAGCGTTCCTATACCTACTTACTGAAAGTTGCACTTTTAATAAGTCATTTATTTGTATTGCATATTTTATTTTAATGCACATTATAATTTGATTTAACAATGAACAACATAGCCCCCAAATAAAGGTGTTTTTTTTTTAATTTTTCTACTTTAATGGACAATGAGTTGAGAGAGAATTTTGTCTTCACAAGAAAATTAATAAACTGGATTCTGCTATTGGGTTAAGTATATTTACCTAATACATAAAGATCTGTTATTATCACCTGCCAAGGTATTGCCGGTTGACCCTTGTCTGTGCTATTCGTCATACTCCCTTTCTGTATAGCCTGTTCCTGTGACTGCTCACCTATAAACTTATTTTTCCTGAGAACTGTTATATTTGGAGGAGAAAGCAGTGGGCCTATAGTGGGTATAATTTTTGAGAGTATAAAAACGCATTTTAAAATCCTTTCTTGTATGTTTTGGTATTTAACAAAGAATTTTGAGTAATAGGTACCACCTTAAAATGACTTGAAAAGCTTTGGTTGCAGTGAATAATGTCAGTATAATACAAGTGCAGAAATCTGACTCCTAAACTCAACCATATCAGAGTTCTCACATAAGGCTGTTTCATACTGTGGCCTAACACAGTTCTTTCTTCTCCTAACTGATACAAAAAGGTAAACAAGTTTTACTTTAATTAAATTGGACGCCTGTTCCTGTGTTAACTATTCTAACCTACAAGCTCCCTGGATAGAATGTGATGTAGTTCAAACACTGACACTCCTTAATTTGGACTTCTTGCGCTGTTCCTAAGCGAGTGTTCTTTTAGATGTGAACGTTGCCCTCAGTCTTCCTGGTGATAGGTGACATCTCTTTTTGAAGCCTGTCACCAAGAAGCAAGGATGAGAGAAACAGGACTGGTTTTCTGGGAAGAGATGCTGTAAATTTGTAACTGAAAAAGGGCATAAGGTATGACAGGCCCTGTCTCTGATAATGAGCTCATTTAGTCTCTCATTTAATATGATTGTCTTCTTGATCCTCAGATCAGGTCCGATAGAGATAAAAACCTTTCACTACGGTATAGCGTGACGGGGCCAGGAGCTGACCAGCCTCCGACTGGTATCTTCATTATCAACCCCATCTCAGGCCAGCTGTCAGTAACCAAGCCTCTGGACCGTGAGCTGATAGCCCGGTTTCATGTAAGATATCAGCCAGCTGATGATCTGTTGTACTAATACTCTTCTGACTGTGTAGACTGTAACATTTGCCTCTTCTATTGGTCTTCATGCTTTGGTGCTGAGAGTTCGCATACCAGAAATGTGCTTTGTAGCCTTTTCAATTTGTTGTAATAATTATTGTTTTATAGACTTGATATGTACCATGGTAAAGAACAGTGCAAAGAAGAAAGTAAAATGGCATAAAATATCATTACCCTTTACAAGTCGGTGTGGCTAAGGACTTACAAGAACAAATTCACGTGAAGGAAGTCAAAATTGTTGCGTGTAAATTATATGGAGATCACTTTTAATGACTGCATAATATTCCATTAAATGTATAGACTGTACTTTTTTTAAGTATTTATTTATTTATTTTTGAGAGAGAGGGAAAGAGAGAGTGTGTGCAAGTGGAGGAGGGGCAGAGAGAGAGAATCCCAAGCAGGCTCCACGCTGTCAGCAAGGAGTCTGATGTGGGGCTTGATCTCATGAACTATGAGATCATGACCCGAGCCATTACCAAGTGTTGAACGCTTAACCAACTGAACCACCCAGGTGCCCCTATCTTATTATATGTCTTATGTTTGTTTTTATGTTCTTTATTTTTCTGTTTTATTCATTTTCTTACTGGGTTATCACAACTTTTTGTATGCAATTATATGGTCATATTTTTAAATATAGTATATGTATATATTTGAAACTGATTTTTAATCATTTTAAATATTAATTGTAGTGAGTATTTTGAAACTCAAGAATTGCCTAATATTAATATAAATTCCACAAGGCATTTTTCATTTTTTTTTTTTAGCCATGCTTGCACATTTCCTAGAACAAGATGTCAAATATTTTTCCATGACTTTAATATAGAAAACTAAGTTGGTCTTTATTACTTCTCCAATTTCTGCATGAATAACTAAAACTTTTAATGAAATTATCATTTTTAGACAATATATGCACATTATAAAAACTTTTAAAATAATGCAGTATTAATAAGAAAGTAAAAATGATTTGTAATCTCAGTACGTGGAACCAACCTTTTTCTTTTTTTTTTTTAACACTTTGGTGATATGCTGCAAGATTTTTTCTTTGCATAGATTCATAAATGTATTTCGTTGAAATTGGCATCATTCTCAGAAACCCGCTTTTGTCACTCAGCAATCCTAGGATTTAGCATCTTTCCATGTCAATAAATAATTATCTATTTATGTCATCATTTTTGATTGCTTTATATTATTTTGTTGAATGAATGTAATGTAATTTTAGCTAATTGCCTATTGGTAGATATTTAGGTAATTTGGTTTATTTTATTCTATTTTGTAACTACAAATAATGTGGCAATGAACACTTGTCTGTACATTTTCCCATTATATCCTTGGAATAAATTCCTGAAATTGGAATTATTCTGATAAATATTATGAAATTGTTCTCTAGAATGGTCATATTATGTTGCAGTACCTACCCATTATATAGGAGATATACTTTCTCCATACCATTATCAATTCTAGGCATTTATTTATTCAATATTATTTGAAAAAAAAAAAGATCTTAATGCTTTAAGTTGCCTAAGTTGAATATCTAATCGTAGTGAATTCCCTACTCCTGTGTTGAATTTTCTTTTGGATTGTTTACCTTTTTTCTTTTCTTTTTTTTTTTTTTTTTTTTTTTTTTTTTTTTTTTTTTTTTTTTTTTTTTTTTTTTTTACTGTTAGGAACCTCTTAACAGTAAGGGATATTAATATTTAATTTGTCACATATTTTCCCCTTTTGTTGTTTGTTTTTAAGCTTTGTTAATAATTTTTACCCTACTATAGTTCATAGTTCTTGCATTGCAAAATTGTGTTTTTCAATTTTATCATACAATCTGGTTTTAGAGATGGTTGTTAAAAACCTTCTCTACCCCAAGATGCTAAACTACCCAATTTTCTCTTTTGTATGTATGTATGTATGTATGTATGTATGTATTTAGCTTCTATATTTTTAACCTCTGTCGGGTTTATTTTACTAAAAGGAGAGAGGTATATATAGAACCACTTTGTTTTTCCTTTATAGTCAATTGTCCCATGTATTGAATTAGTATTCCCAGGAATTTATCATCTACACTTAGTCTTTCAAAACTTTTTATTCCACATATGTATGTGTTTGTTTCTAGATTCTTACTTTGCATGGTAACATATTTGTTGAATTTTTACACTAAAAACTTTTTAAATTTTTTTTTAATGTTTATTTTTGAGAGAGAGAGAGAGACAGAGCGGGAGTAGGGGAGGGGCAGAGAGAGAGGGAGACACAGAATCCGAAGCAGGCTCCAGGCTCTGAGCTGTCAGCACAGAGCCCATCGCGAGGCTCGAACCCACAAACTGTGAGATCATGACCTGAGCTGAAGATGGATGCTTAACTGACTGAGCCACCCAGGTGCCCCTGCACTTGTAAAAACTTTTTAAATGATTGAAGTTTTGAAAATTATTAAAATATTGGTATGTAGTAGAGCAGGACTCCCCCTGATCTAAACAGGTGAATAAGTGTATGAGAAATTTAAAATGTTTTCAAAGGGCACCTGCCTGGCTCAGTCAGTGGAGCGTGCAACTCTTGATCTCAGGGTCATGAGCTCAAGCACCATGTTGGATACAGAGCATAAAAAAATAAGTCAAATGAAGGTTACTCACAAAGCGGAGGGTAGGCACCTGGCTGGTCTAGGTGATAGAGCATCCAACTCTTGATCTCGGGGTCATAAGTTTGAGCCCCACATTGGGTGCAAAAATTTAAAAAAATTAAACAACAGTGTTTTCTGCCTTGAATATTACTCAACACTCCCTTCTTCCAAAGGCCTTGATTGTTTCATCAACCAGTTCTTTTAAAATCCTTAAAGAAAAAATAAATAAATAAAATCCTTAAGGAACATATAATGCTGACACTTTTTATATTGTTTAAAGGTTTAAGAAATTAATTCTCATTAATACAGAAACTTGATAAAGATAGCACACAATAGACCAGTCTCTAATTAGACTAGTCTCAAATTTATGAATATAAATAATATCAGTACAAAACTTCTAAATAATTCTTCCTGAGTGAATTATCATTATTTGAACTCCTGTGGCTAAGGCCAGGAAATAAATATTTTCAGGTCAGTTTTGGGGCAAATTCTTCCTCTGCAGATTCTTACTGCCACCACATAATTAAGAGATACTCATAAAAAAAATAGACTCAATTATAGAATTGCAAGAATGTTTCAGTATTAAGACTCTATTAATGTAATATATTAAATAAGTGAAGGAAAAAAGGATTATTTTTATTGGTGTTGAAAGGCAATAATAAAATTTGCATTGCTTCATGTATTAAATAACTTCTAAATGAAGAAAAGGGGGATATGTTGATGCGTCTTTAACTTGAAGCCTACCCAACAGAAACCAACAGGCAACATCACCAGGAAAACCACAGAAGCATTCCAGTTAAAAAGAAACAATTCAATGGAGCACTACACAGCTATTGCAAAGAATGCAATGGATCTCTATGTGCTGGATTAAAAGATTTTGAGGATATTCTGCCAAGAGTAGCCAAGTGACTCTATTTATTTAAAGAGAAAAAGAAATGAAATATTTAGAATACCTGTAAAACTGAGAACTCGGGCTTGGGAGAGGAACAACGGTCTTATATAATACGCAGGCACTTTTAATGTTTATGAGTGACTTTACAATTAAAAAAAAACAAACAAAAACACCCAGTGTCAAAATTCCCTACACGCACCTAATTCTTTCTAAATTCTGTTCTGTTCTCTTAATCTTTACGACTACTCTGTGCCAGTACATTGTTAATTACCCCGACTCATATGTATGGATTTAGCAAAAGGATTTGGGAACTGGACAGGACTGGCTTTTTCTGAAGCTCAATTTCTTCACCTTCAAGTACTTATCATTTCTGCCTTACTCTTTCATATATGGATTAAATGAGTTAAAATCCATACGACTCTGAGCACAATGCCTAGCAGACAGACATTTGCTGGCTTTTTACTACTATATCTATCCTAATCATATGAAGTTTGGCTAACTTAAATTTTGACGGGGAGACTAGCTTTTTTTTCACTTTCTTGGTTCATCCTTGCTATTTTGGTAGTGCAGTCATTGTCTGTTTTGTCTTCTCACTGGAGACATAAACCTGTTAAATAGTTTTGTCTTCTAATTACTTTTGCAGTTGAGGGCACACGCAGTGGATATTAACGGGAACCAAGTGGAGAACCCCATTGACATTGTCATCAATGTTATTGATATGAACGATAACAGACCAGAGTTCTTACACCAGGTTTGGAATGGGACAGTTCCTGAGGGGTCCAAGCCCGGTAAGTTTGAAAATCATAACTCAGAGATTCAGGAAATGCAGTGTAATACAGCACTGGGGTATAAGCAAAAGGAGAAATCAGTGAGCCTTTTTAGTGTCATTTTCTTTCATGCAAAATGATTGTAGGGAAAAAAGAAGGTAACTTAGGAAAAAACCCACTGAAGAGAGAAAACACTTCCCACCTTTGAAAAAGTACACACTACAGTATTTTTGGTTCTATAGTATAGGATCTATGGGTTCTTTCATTTGGCTGTGGTTCATAAAGTCAGGGCAGGAAAAAGTGAGCACCGGAATACCAGTGGCTTTCCATTCATAAAGTACAGATTTTATCATATTAGTCGTAGCAGCACGTGAAACACAGTCAGAGAGTCTGAAAGGTAGTTGGTATTCCTGGGACCAGGCAGTGAGGTAAAGCCAAAAGCGGAAAGGGGGCTGGAGGCAGCTGTGATCGCTGCCCTGTGGACACACTGGTTATTTACTTGTGCATGACCCGAATGTCTTCTGCAGCCTGCGCTTTTCAGCTTAGTGTCATGGAAAGTGTCCTAGCCTAGAAGCAGCGATTGCCAAAGCTTCTCGCCATTGTGAAGTGGTGTTTGACTAAGATTTTCGATTCTTGTACTGAAAACACTGTAGACTTCAGAAGAGCAAGCCTGGGGAGGGCCAGTTTAGTTTGAAAAACTAGTGGACATGAAAATCAGTTCAGAGAGAGATGGGAAAAGGAGAGAGGGTTTCTCCAACCTTCCTGAGTGATTTGGTGTTTAGAGGGACTTCATTAGCTATATTATTATTATTATTATTATTTTGATTTTGTATTAAAAAAAGCCTCAATATTTAAAATTGTGCTACGTATTATCCTTGCCGTCTATATCAATTTATACCAGTAGCTCTCATGCATATGCCCAATTTATGCGTATAACCGAATATGCTTTTACTGGCATTTTTTTCTCGATCCAAATGCGCTTGTCTATATCCTCAGAAAGGAAGAAGAGGTGGGGGTGAGGGGGGCCACAGGGGAGGACAGGACTGTGCGGGAAGTTCAACCATCTGTGGCTCCTTCTGAGTCACATTCTGGAATAGCTTTCTTTGGTATTTTAAAATACTATAAAATCAAAGAATATTAAACGTATCCTTACTAAAACACAAGTCTTATCCACATATTCTAGAGATAAAGTTTTTTTAACATGGGGAAAATTTTTTTTGGTTTAATCATTTATTTTTTTCCTCTGTTATTTCTAACTATTAAAAAGTACTGCTTCACAAAAATTGTCAAAAGTAAACCATTAAAGATATATTTATTATGCATTTCATCATGAATTTCCATTCCTTTACAAATAAAAGACTCAATCTTCATGAGAAGTAAAGACGCTTCATGCATATATTTCTTGTGGTTGTTCTGTAAGAATCTTGAGTTAAACTGCATTATAATCAGTATTTTGGCTCAACATCTGGGAACATATTTTTTTTAACCATTCATTTGTTCATTCAACAAATGTTTATAGGGTCTGTGCTGTGTGTGGTATTTACCCAGCCCTGTGAATTGCAGCCTCTAGGCCTACTGGACTTACATTTTAGTGGGGAAGAATAAAAGGAAAACGATAATGCAATGGGATTTTTTTTTTTTAAATGGTAAGGGTGTAGAGATGGCACATAATAAGAGCGTCTTGCTTAGAGGAGCAAACTCTGAAACGAGATTTGAATAATGTGGTCAAGACTTTGTGAATTCTGGGGCAAAACTATACCAGGGAGAGGTTCTAAAGCAGAACTGGGCTTAGAGCACTGGTGAAGAAGGTAAGTTAGAGATGGAAAATTTTTTACTCCAGTTCTTCTAAATTTCCCACAGAACAGACCTTCCTAAATAGTAACTACTTTGCTCTCTGCTTCTAAATTACACAATTTGTGTAGCTAGTTTGAACTTATTTGGTTCTGATGCTTTGTAGATTTCCTTTACAAAATATCTAATAGTTGAAATCCCTGAGTTTGTTACAGTGCTCTTGTAATCTCCTAGGAAATAACGAACCACAATGCCAAACCCCTATTCAATGTACCAAAACAGTAACGCATGGAATGATTCCTTATGACCTGAGTAAATGGAGTGTGCCTCGTTGTGCACACAGCTTACTTTCAGAAAGTGACTTAGGCATTGAGGAGAATCATGCTCAGTGTGTCATTTCTGATGTTACTGTATAGCAAAAGAAAATATGACATAGGAAAAGGTATCAGTGGTCATAAAATATGTTGCATTCTGTATTATTGTTTGCACTTCATATGAATAAAGGTCTGAAGTGATCCTTTCTTTGAGTCATAGAGTGAACTTGTCTTCTAAGTTATGGAAAAAATGAATCTTTATAAATGTATACATTTTTAATAGTTTTCCTTTCAAGAATTTAAATTTTTTAAAGTGAGTACTGTTCTTATGGGTAGCATTTTTAATCAAGTCTAAATGATTAAATGTTTGTTTTGAAGAAGTAAAATGAAGATTGATCAAAAAGGCAAATATACCTTTGAGGTATATCTATTTAGGAGACCGAAGTGAAGGGTGACCATTCATTTTCCATGTATACTGTGTCTAGGGACATACGTGATGACAGTCACTGCTATTGATGCTGATGATCCAAACGCCCTAAACGGGATGTTGAGGTACAGAATCCTGTCCCAGGCTCCAAGCACCCCTTCGCCCAACATGTTTACAATCAACAATGAGACTGGTGATATTATCACCGTGGCAGCTGGACTTGATAGAGAAGTAAGCCAACCAAAAACTATTTGAATTTGTTTTTAATCATAAAGGTACGCGGTATCACATGCAGTTTATCTCCAGGTAATAACAAATCTACAGTATTATGCGACGTCAGTTTTTTTAAAGAACTCTTATGCTATTTTCTGCCTAACTTCACATTAGTTGAATTATGTATGCATACGGGATAAGTCATTGTTAGTCCATATAATAAATAGTGTGTAATCAACTAAGTTAATTAGATGCATCTGTATTTACCTTTTTTTTAATTCTTGGCATTTTCTCAGTTTTCCCTCACATTCAAAGGTTTTTGTGAAGAATTAAATTAAGAATCATGCCCAAATAATGTGTGCATTAATTTAGGATAAATTTTAACATTAATATTTTTGAGAGGCTACACATAACATGTGTGTGGTGGAGTGTTTGTAGTCTCTGTGGATAGACTGGTTTTGTTAAAGGAGATTATCCCCTTTATTAAAACTTGCCCCTTAACTTTATGATTAACTTACCGAGCAGGTTTGAAGACTAGCAATGACATTAATTCCACTGACAAGGCTTTAAAGTTGTAAATGGAGAAAAACAGACTTCTGGCATAATTTTTGTTGGAAAGGCATAAAATGTTGACAGCAGTGAAATACCATGTAGTGTCACAGTCTGAGAGGGAATGGGTATTTCGGTTAATTCCAAATGTTCATCTCACTGTGACAGACCTCAACCCACTGTCCTCTTACACACCTCGGAGTTTTTTGTTCATGTGATTCCTTCCACCAGGAATGCCTTGCACCTTTTTTCTTGATTTGGAACCTTCCAGTTCTTCATCTTCAGTTTAAGCTCCACTTATATCCTTTCCTGAAAACTCTGCCCCTAATGAATCTTTTACACTCCTTATTCTGTTCTGCCCATTTTCTTAAGAGATTCTCAAGGTCATTATTGACCATCAGTAGTCATTGTTTGAAGAATTATCAAAGTGCTAACACATAGACATTTGTGCTTTGTAGATTTCTGGCTGAGCCAGCCTTTATAGTAATGAGACCTCAGATTATGTATGTCAAAAGGAAACATTATACTTACCATAATAAATAATATTGACAAGGATTTTAGGAGTTGGTTTTTATGATGCTTCATTTGCCTTAGTAGCATTCACTTGAATTGGATCGAAGAAAACATTGCTATTGCAATTAATTATATATGCAAGATTGTGCTAGAAACACCTTACTAAAGTAGTACGAACAATCGAGATTACTTTATTCACAACTGAACTTAGCTGAGAGCCTTACTTAGGAGTTAGATGTATGCCTATTACGTTGCACCTGTTAACTTCCAGGTATCAACGATTCTTTTTCCAGGAATCTTCTGGGTTGGAAATGGTTGAAATTTAGTTTTTGCAGTAGTACTTCTGATTCAGTGATATTTGAAACACGTATGTCTTTTCACCTCTTCCACTACTGTAGGACGTGCCATTTTTTTTTTTTTAAATTTTTTTTTTTCAACGTTTATTTATTTTTGGGACAGAGAGAGACAGAGCATGAACGGGGGAGGGGCAGAGAGAGAGAGGGAGACACAGAATCGGAAACAGGCTCCAGGCTCTGAGCCATCAGCCCAGAGCCCGACGCGGGGCTCAAACTCACGGACCACGAGATCGTGACCTGGCTGAAGTCGGACGCTTCACCGACTGCGCCACCCAGGCGCCCCATGCCATTCTTAAATGCCAGTAAACTTAGCATGGATGCATATTTTGGTATGAGAACATGGGGTATTTTTTAATATTCTCTCTTGAGTGCCAAGTTGCACACATTCTATGTAGGTATAGCTCATCCCCCCAACATAAGTATTTCTCTTTCATCCACACTCTTCATTGTGAAATACAGAAATGGGTCTTCATCTTGTGTGCACACAGCAGTATTCTTACTTCATTCAGCCTGGCTGTTTCATGACAAGAAAGAGGCATCGAGAATTAAAGATAGTTTTACTAAAGCAGAACAACCAAATTGAAAAGCCAGAGAGACTGCGTTTAGTTTAGAGAATGGAAGCCTGAAGTCCTATGTCATCGTGGTTGAATTTATGTCGCAGTGGACAGAAGCAGCTATGCACCACCCCCTGATGAAATGGATGTGGAAATGGATTCGCAACGTTAGAATCATGTGTGAGCAATAGCTTCTTGACAGTGAAATTATTAAACACAACAATGAGTTACTAGAGAAAATTATGGAAAACCTTCCATTTCTGAAAGTCATTTAACAGAAAAAAAAATGTATCTATCTCAGATGGTTTATGGTAATTCTGCCTGAGGCCAGGGATAAATTACTGCGACTTCTTCAGGCCTCGTGCAGGCCTGAGATTCTTTTATATCTATTAGAATTCACAGTTTTCTTTCTGTCAAAAGTAATTTCAGTTGTCATTCTCCCAGGATATATGACACCTACAAGCGATTGAACTCCTAATCATTGAAATGCTTACTGAGATTCAGTTTTTTATTTTACTTCAATCTGTGGGTTTAGAAAAATATCCATTCTTCGGGTTTTCCAGGCCTAAAGCGGTACCTACCACATCTGCCAGGCTTCAGTGTTTTACCTCCACCTGACTTCTTTTTGCATCACTCGGTGGTGCCTATTCCTGGCATTTTCTTTTCTCCACTCCTTTCTCTTTATGGCCCATCTCGTGCCCTTCTCGGGTAGGACTACTGATGACTCACACTCTGCTTCAGGAGGTGTAAATCCTGGCACTGCCCGTTGTGGGCTATTTGACCTTCAGTGTATTAAGCTGAAACCTCAGTCCCCAGATCTGTGAACGGGCCCAATACTATGACCTCCCTTATGGGATGGCTGTACGGGTTATGTAACATGAGGTATAAAGCATGCGGCATTGTGCCCAATTCATATTAGCTATTGTTTTCCCCTGTCGCCATCGTAAATCCAGCCTCCGCGTCTACTGGGTGGGCGCTATCACTTTTACTCCTCCTCATCCTTTTGTCATGGCAAAGAAAGAATTCTACTTCTTGTTTTCCAAGCCTTCCTGTTTTCACTTGTGCTGTCAGCAACAAGTTCTCCTGTGTCCCACTGTCTTGGTCTTCCCTTCTCTACAGGTTCCTTTCTACAAACCCCACAAGTGTCTTTATAAACGTGCTGTGTGTCCCCTGGGGTAAAATGGCGCTCCATCACCCATAGGATGACATCAGAGCCCTTTAACATGGCAATCCAAACACTCTGTGACATTGGTCTCAAAGCCTTCTTTGGGTCTAACCTCCTGGGATTCCTTGCTTTCTGCTGAGGAGCAAAGATGCCCCGGCATTCATACAGCCACATGAATTCCTTGTACAAATCTGAAGCTCTGTGTTCTTCTGTTCCCGTTGTTCCTCTGCCTGCAGATTTCCTTTCCCATCTTTGCATAGCAGGGCAATCCTCACTCTTTGAGAGTCAGTCCACAACCCCTCCCTGGTCACCCATCGTAGTCTCTGCCTTCCCTGAGATATGCAAAGACTATGTTACATAGACAATATATCTGCCTTCTTGCTCCCAATATTTTGTGAGGCTGATGTGTTCCTCTTTACCCTGAACAGGAACCCCGAAGGAACCTTCACGTTCCAAGATTTTCTTCTTCGTTTCAGCACCATACTCCTCGAAAGGACAGTCCACATTCATGCTCAGCTCCCACTTCTTCCTCATCTTGAAGTATGGCTTTCTGTCTGCCTACACTACCTGGATGCACCCATGTCATGCACATATTCGCATTTTCTTGGAAGGTCCTAATACAGTGGAGCAATTAATGGTACAGACTCTGGACTCCCGAGAGACCTGGGTTCAAATCTTGTCTCTGCTACTTATGTCTGGGTGTCAGTGGGCAAACTTCCTCGCCTCCCTAAGCCTTGGTTTCCTTACCTGGAAAATGAGGCTTAAAAAAAATCCACCTGCCTTATGGGATTACTGTGAGGACTGAATAAGATAATGCATAGTGCTTAGCAGTGTGCCTGACACATAATTAATACTCAATCTCAATAAATGTCATTTTTTTTCTCATCAAAGCCCTCAGAACAATGTCAGCATACAATAAACATTCAAAACAAAATTTTTATACTCCAGACACACCAGGCAGATGGTGCCATCAGCCCCATTTCACAGACGAAGGAACTGGGGCTTAGCATTTAAGAAGTTGAACAGGGCCACAAACCTGTACTTCTCCTCTAAGTTCTCATGACATTATTACTTAACAGTCCATCCCCTAACCCAGTGCATCCAAAGCAAGCTATCATTTCCTTCAACCTGCTATTCTTGATCAAGGTCCTATTTCATGGGAGCAGTGCCATGTCCCCAGTCTCCCCAGATCACGGTCTACTTGCCTTCCCATGCCCTCCATCCAGCCACTGATAGGTTCAGTTCTCAGGTTCCTCTCATTTTACCTCCAAAATGTCTCTTGTATTCACTCCTCCCTCCAGACTTTGAGGACTGGACTGGTTTGGATACCCTTGCTTCACTTCTTCGTACTCTTACTACAGTTGCTTTGTACATCTGCTCCTGTGAACCATTAGTATCTGCCTCCATCACCTAACGATATCAAGGCCATCTCTGGGTTTGTTCATTATCTTTTCCAAGGAAATACATCACCAGGCATCCGGTAGACCTTCATGAAATGTCTGTCAGATTGAATGACTGAATGTTCTCACTTCCTCATTCACTTCTATCTCTCCAGCTCAGTGTTTCAAAAGTGCACAGGTACAATGATTTAAGTTGATAATGTAGGGAAGCTTCTAGAGAAGACTAGAGACCACAGTCTTTAGATGTTCCTCCATCGAGTAGAGACTGCCAGAGTGCAAGGATCCTGTTGTGTTTATTTTTACAGTTATATTTATGGCAGGTGATGCTGGCTTTCCATTTACAGTACTTTTATAATAAATTAAGTTTTTTAAAAGGGAGTGAATGTCAAGATAAATGTTAAGTGACTCATGATATAGAAATATGAGGATATGGCAGCCTTGGAAAGATGGTGTATGAATCACTGTAGTTTGGGAAACTGAGCTAGTTTATACTCCCAGTATATGATTCAATGGAAAAAAAATAATAGCTACCATGTAAACAAGATGTTTTTCTCCAAACCTGGAATGATTTTTATAATGTGATACAAGGTCGAGGGTTTCTCATTCATTCACTCATCTGACCAAGTCAAAAGCATTTATCGCTTGCTTGCTCTGTGTCAGGCATTAGACTGTATACCAGTGACACAAACGTTGACAAAGCAGGGCCCCTGAGGAGGGGCGTGTCTGTGTGTCCACAGCCAGGAGGACAGACATACGGACCAATAGCAGCCATATAATTCTGGAAACAGTGCTAGAGGTGTGTCCCGGACCAGCCAACAGCTCTGCCTCCAGGACTTTCAGAAGTCAGCTAAGGTGGCTTTTCCACTTCGTGTTTTCCAGGTTCAGGGCGAAGGGAAAGGTATTCAAGCCCAGAGTTTCTCAATGTTGGCACCCTTGATATTTTGGATCAGATAAATCTTTTCTGCGGGGCCTATCCTGTGTATCATAGGGTGTTCAGCAGCCTCCCTGGCCTCTATCCATTAGATGTCAGTAGCACTTCCCAATTGTGGCAACCAAAAATGTCCCAGGAATGGCCAGATGTCCCCTTGCGGGAGTGGGGGTGGGGGGGGAGACAAAATTACTTCAGTTGAGAACTACAATTCTAGCCTGAGGGGAATGCCAGATGCAGTGGTGTAGTGTCACAATAGGCACCTGAAAGTAAATACCAACAGCTCAAGGTGTAGGGTAAGTGGATAAAAAAGTGATATAAAGCTTTGGTAAGATAGGTGAGTCACAGGGAGAGAAGGATGGATAGATAGCGAGCAGGTGAGTTGAGATTTTACCCATCTAGAAACAGGAAGTAAGGAAACATTTTTAAGCAAAATCCCCTCAATCAGATGTGGGATTAAGGATGGGAAGTCAAATCCTTCTGAAACCTAAATGTCAGTCATTCCGAACCAGATGCCCAGGGACTAAATTAGTCAAGAAGCCCTAAATAGTTTGGTTGTCTAAAACAGGCTGTCATGTCTTCCTAACTAAATGTAAGAACATTTTACCAACCGAGCATATGAAAGTGGAGATTCTATTATTTACCAAGTTGGAATTTTTTTATTTGGAGAAACATTGTATTTTAGAAACAACAATGGTCTTTTGTAACTTAAGGATTCTAAAACGAACTTGAAGCAGTAGGAAATTTCATGTTTTAGCTACTGATCCCAATATTTCAGCTCAGTGGAAAATTGTATATATTATGTTTATATAATTTTAAAGTAGACATTATAATTTAAAGAGTAGACATTACAAAGAGTTGTATTTCCATACAGTATCTATGTGAGATTTTTATCTTCTTTAACCAAAACCAAAATCAAAAAAAAATTTTTTTTAATGCTCATCTGCTTCTGCAAATAGCAGTTAACAGAAATGGCATTTCAAAGTCATAACAAATTTTTATTTTCATGATTTTCAGCTGGGAAGCTGAAGTGAGTGCCCTACAAAATTCTCTCACTAACCATGAGAGGATTAAGGTGAAATGACACTTTATTGGGAAAGGAAATCATTGAGAAATATTTTAGCCTACATAAACATTATGGTGAGGTGTTATGGGTTAAGAAAAATTTAAATGGTTCAAATATCACTATGCCTCTGTTTTTTTGTTTTTTATTTTAATAAGTATGGTATTTTCTTTTTTAGGAAGACAAATAAATAATTAACTGCTAGAATTTGGCATTTGGGTGGACAGAGACTTAAAAATCGAATATGTGGGCTTTGGCTTTTTCTCCTACTCACTTCTTCCTTGTGCTTCCCACTAACAACTAAATCACAAGCTACAATTTGTGTCTGTTCTAGCCAAGCTCCAGAAATCCTTTAAGAATGGCCATTCATAATGTTAGCTATATTTAGAATCAGGGAAAACTGTACTTTGCAGTGACAGTTTATTTTTGTATGAGGAAGTGAGTTTTGTTGTTCAGAGTGTTTTAACATGTATGAAATGACCTATATTTTTTTATCTGTGTTAATTTCCACAGAGATTTCAAATGACTTTAGTAAATCATTTTGGTTAGGTTGTCCTAATATAAAGTATATTTGTCAGCTAGTGCTATAGACTTCTCAGTCTCAAGATATTCTCTTAGATACAGTGCAGCTTAATTTGGCTCCCCATTTAGAGGTTCAATTAGGAACTTGAAAGCAGTGATATTTATTTGGTAATAATCATGTACGTGCAGATGTATGTGCATACCATCATAGGTATGTGGGCACAATGAGTATTAGGCGGAAATGGCAATCTGTTGAGTATGCAACTATTAAGTACCACTGTGTTTTGTAGTTATGACTAAGGACATAAACATAAACCCTTTAATTAGGTTTTAACTTCATTTAAGAATATATCTCTTCTATATAGTTGTGAACAGTATGTGCTAATGGGGAGTAGGACAAAATATTCTATCAACCCTTTTAAAATAGAGAGAACATATATGAGAATACATTAAAAGAAAGCATATGTATACCCTGTAAAATAAAATATATGTATATACGTGTGTGCATGTGTGGGCGTATATATGTATGTATGTGTATGTATATATGTACTTACACACTTTCAAGATTTTTCATTATCCTGAACTGGGTAGAAACTAACATATGAGAAGGTAAACAAACCAAATGACTGGAACGCTTGATCACAATGTTGCAAAGTTCCGAAGAGGGGAAGGTTGAGACCAAGTGGAAGTTTCAGCTTCTCTGTGAATTCACACATCTGCAATGCATCTTTTATCTTTTCCACAAATAGAGGTGAAAATATACAGTCACATCTTTCTAGACAAGAACCAGACCTGTGCTTCTCAAGTTAAAGTCAACGCTATGGGAAATTTCAAGTAATGCTAATCAGAATGAATGATGCTGTGCTTTCCGTGTGTGTAATAAAGAGCCATTTACAAAACAATTGCTATGTCTTCTTGAGGAATTAGTTTCATTTAAGGTGTTATCTTTCTGTCTTTTTAGAAAGTGCAACAGTATACGTTAATAATTCAGGCTACAGACATGGAAGGCAATCCCACATACGGCCTTTCAAACACAGCTACGGCTGTCATCACGGTGACAGATGTCAATGACAATCCTCCAGAGTTTACTGCTATGACAGTAAGTACAGACTGTCATTCACAGAACTTAGGTCTGTGGTCCATTACTGAAAAGTTTTGTCATGAATTATAAATGCGTTAAATAGAGGTGTGACTTGCTCAACCTAATTATAAATTGACCACTCGCTCAGACGTTTTCTGTCACCAGGGCTTTTAAATGAGGCACCTGAGTGATTTGTTCCTTCCTAGTCTCCAAATCCACTGATGAAGTTGTTGAAACATGCTACCCGGAAGAAATGGCCTAAAAATACTTCGTGCTGTAATAACAAAATATTTACAAATACTTTGAGGTACACGAAACTGAATGGATATTACCTGACTGATTTATACAACTTTGGCAGCATACAGATACTATCTCTTGAGTAAAATGATTTCCCTCAGACAAATCCTTTTCTCCAACCCTACATGAATCACCCAGGGACTCACAAATGGACACTAATTTTAATATTAATGAAACTATAACATGATTTGGAAGAAATTTTGTCTGCTGAGAAAAGTTATAGTATTTTTAAAGTCAAACATAAATGCTGTGATTACCTGCATTACTGATTTCCTCGTTGACTGTGAGTAATAAAGATTTAATGGGGCAGTAAAATCAGGGCAGCAGGGTCATCAAGACACGCTGTCCTTCACCGGTCCGCATCGCTCGTCTAACTGAGGTTTGTTTTTCTTGTAGTTCTATGGCGAGGTCCCTGAAAACAGGGTAGATGTCATAGTAGCTAATCTAACTGTGACTGATAAAGATCAGCCCCATACGCCAGCCTGGAATGCCATGTACAGAATCAGCGGCGGGGATCCCACAGGGCGATTTGCCATTCAGACAGACCCGAACAGCAATGACGGCTTAGTCACTGTCGCCAAAGTAAGTTCCACTTGGGTCACTGATCTCTCTGACAGGTCCATAGTTTATTATTTACTCTGAGGGTTGTTTTTTTTTTTCTTCTTTCAAACATCTTCAAACCTGGAATTAACATATTTTGGGGAATCACATTTGTTATTTTTTTTGTTAATTTTTAATGTTTATTTATCTTTGAGAGAGAAGGAGAGACAGAGAATGAGCAGAGGAGGGACAGAGAGAGGGGAAGACACAGAATCCAAATCAGGCTCCAGGCTCTGAGCTGTCAGCACAGAGTCCGACGCAGGGCTCGAACTCATGAACTGTGAGATCGTGACCTGAGCTGAAATCAAGAGTTGGACACTTAACTGACTGAGCCACTCAAACACCCCACATTTATTTTGTAGTTTCTGTTGAGGCTAGGTTGAGACCAACATAACTGTTCTCACATTGTCTCTAGAATATGATTGCGTTTAAATCATTTGGGGCCAGTTTTAACATTCTGAAGACGGGATTGCCCTCCACAGTGTTAACGGAGTGCGCTTAGATATGTTAGTGATGTAGCACATCCTCAAGTATTAATTGATCACCAGTCGATAGCTATTAGGAAAGAGGCCCCATGCCTATTATTCTCAAGTTCCCCTTGGAGCACTGGCTCAGAGAACAAACCAGAAAATATCACAAAATTAAAATGGGTTGTGTAGGCAGAAAGAGGGCCTACATTGCAAAAACGTTGTGAATTTGCACTGCTGTTTTTAAATGCTATATTCAAGACTTAAAGAAATTCGTTCTTCTGATCTTTAATTGTCACAAACAAAACACCCTGAGTGCTGGAAGGAAGGGGCTGTTGACTGCAAGTGTAATGCATAGCTGTAATGTAAAATTAAAGTGAACATCTCTTCCTTCAAGCCCCCAGTGAAGAAATCTGTTCCCTTGTCTCTCATCCCAACTCTGTTAAGTGAACCCAGATGTGGGCCTTGTGTAGGTGCACCAAGGTGTCAGTTGCCTAGAATTTATGAGTGAGTAGAAGGGGAGTTTCCCCCCAGGAGGTGGGCATTGGAAATTTCTCTGAACACCCCAGAGCTGGGCCATGTGTTCGAATCCCAGGTCTGCTTTTGGTAGTGGTGTGAGCATGGCAAGTTGTTGAACCTCGCTAAGCCTCAGGTTCTTCATACAGAAAGCAGGGAAGATAATAGTACCTAAGTCATACCATTCTGAGGGATAAATACACTTTAATATGCATTGAAGGACAGAACTCTGCATGAAAATGTTAGGTCATGGACTTCTCATGCAGCAAATGAAACCACTCGAAAGAATTCTGTCTTACTTTCTGGCTTTTCCACTGTCTTGTTTAAAATAATTGACAATGGGAAGTTGAATTGGTGATTTTAGCGTGCTAGAAAAACAAACTATGCGTTTGAAGGTTTGAGGGAGTGGTCTAGGGTAGGAAATGGTGCCGTTTGTGCTAATAATGTGGCTTTCTCATTAGCTTCAGCTCGTAATCCTTCTTAGACCATCTATGACGGCATGAGAGCTCTCTAAGCTCATTTTTCAAATTCTTATGACACGGTTATACTTATCTGCACCTCCACTAGAAGATGATCGAGGGAAGTCAGGAGTGAAATGAAAGTCCAGTCTGATCACTTGACTCCTGGTAACTCTTCTATTGACAGTAGGATTCAATGGAACTTTGGAACTTAATGTTTACGTTATGGGTTATTTGTGCATTACCTTCATCTAGAGTGTTGTTCTTAGAGCTGAGATTTTTACAGACCAGTAGAACACCTAAAATTCTTTTGAGAGACAGCCAGAGTTTTAGTTTGCTAAGTAAGGAAAAAACAAAAACAAGAAAAAAGCCCTTCCACGTACAAACACTATTATTTTTCATAAGTGTGTGTGTACATGTCTGTACTTTAAAATGTTTCAAATTATGAATGATACATTTAAATAGAATTAAGTTTTTGCTTTATGAAAAAATAGGATTTTAATAGTTTCTGATTTTGGTTTTGGTTCTTCGTACTTCATCCCAGATATAAAAGCTTTCTTGGATGAGGCATGGCCTTGATACTAATGTTTGAGAATATAATCTAGACCATTGGGTTCTCACTTGACCTCAGACTATTTAGTATTTTTGATTCACAGTGCTGCTGTTAAGAATAATCAAGTTTTTAGATGTAGTTGAATAAATGCAATCAGTGCAGTAGTAATATGCATTATTTTGTGAACATAAATCTTTGAAGTACCCAAGATTTATAAATATCTTATATAAACAGGCTCAATCGTGATAAATATTTTAATCATTGACCATGCTAATGCGTGTTTTCCAGAAATTTGAGAGGAACCTATGGCGTTGTGAATGAAAAATTAATGTTTTAGAAATGGAGTCTTAAGAATAAACTGCAGAATGCAAATATTCTTATTTCCTGCAAAAATATGGTTTCCTTTTTTTTTTCCCCAGCCAATTGACTTTGAAACAAATAGGATGTTTGTCCTTACTGTTGCTGCTGAAAATCAAGTGCCATTAGCCAAGGGTATTCAGCACCCACCTCAGTCAACTGCAACCGTGTCTGTCACAGTTATTGATGTGAATGAAAACCCTTATTTTGCCCCAAATCCCAAGATCATTCGCCAAGAAGAAGGCCTTCATGCTGGTACCATGTTAACAACATTTACTGCTCAGGATCCTGATCGATATATGCAGCAAAATATTAGGTATCAAATGCTATTTGTGGCATTCTTAAAAATTTACTTTATGTTGTATGCTGTGCACAAAGTTTACTTACCATTTGAATAAAATATTTGAACTGGAACCCAAACTACTTATTACAAAAATTTTTTTTAATTCCTTGATGAAGCTTCCTCTCAGTAAATAGATCAATGAGTATATTAGATAGGAAATAGAAGAATAGATCTACTCGTGTAATTATTTAGAGAAAAAAATGTTCTCTGCCTCTTTTTTTGTCCACCCCCTTTTATCTTTGTATATTTCATAATCATTTAGCCTGTGCTATTATACCAAATACTGCAAAAAGTTTTCACTGTGAGTAAACAGGGGACTCTCAGAAGCTGTAACATCTATCCCTTCCGCACACGTCAGAAAAAAAAGAAAACCCATGCCAAAAACAAGATATAAGAGCTAATTATTTTTGCCTCTTACCTGTACGGTAGTTATAGGACTTATAAAACATATCTGTAAAGATTTCCAACCTCAGCACAATCTAATTTATCCTTCCTGATGAGGGAGTAGGTCGTTGGCAGAGCACAGCCCACATGACTATTATCCATTGCTGGTGATGATAATTTTTTAAATTAGCTCATATTTTATTTAACTTCTTTCAGAACTGCTGCTAACAGATAATTGCATATCTTCCACATTTCTCTATACGTTGACATCGAGATAGAGAAATAGCTAATTAATAATAGGTGTATTGAACTCCTACAACTTTTTACCTTTCAACACGCAGGGTATTTTTTCCAATCTGGATACTGGTTATCTGAGCTTGAAAATCTTACTCTCCACCCAGAATAAAAAAGGAGTTTAAGTTGATAAACCTACTGACACATATAAATCTACTTTATATAGACTCAGATGGTGGGACTTTTCTGAAGAGTGTAGTTCTGACTACAGTTTGGCCCCGTGGGGAAGGTCATGATGAGGATAGGAATGTAGGGGTGTCCCCACTATGACCTCATCAACACCATGATGAGTTGGTGTTTTGGGTGTGTTCCATGATAGAAAATTCAACTTCTATTTATAATGTCTCTTAAGTCCTATACTTTAGGGCTGCTGTTTAATTAGAAGGTATAGTTGAACTATTTTATTGGGATCATTGTTATCCATTAAACTAGACAAGAGACAAGAGTTTAACCACTGCAACAGAAATACTTTTCCATGCTAAAGCTGTATTTTCAACCAATATCTACAAAAACACAAGTTAATGGGCTGGTCGACATTTGGAATTAAACCTGTAAAGTAGGCTTTATTTCTTACGTATATTAAAATATTTACTTACTAAAGCTTTCCTTTTGTAGATACACAAAATTATCTGATCCTGCCAATTGGCTAAAAATAGATCCTGTGAATGGGCAAATAACAACAATTGCTGTTTTGGACAGAGAATCACCAAATGTGAAAAATAATATATATAATGCCACTTTCCTTGCTTCTGACAATGGTATGTAATTAAACATGGTGATTGTATTACCCTGTATGTTGTTAAATAGTGCCTCATCATGAATGCATCATCAGGAAATGAGCTTTTCTATGTCTAGAAAACTGACCTTTTTTAAGCTGAGGCCCCTACTTCTATTTTCCATTTCCGCTGGGTTTTCTCACATATTCGCTGTCTTCTGTAATGAATGTTCCCAACATCGATATGTCTTGCATAGTGCCTAGTACTGTGATGACAAACGTTTGTATTTCTTCTGCCCTGCTATACAATGATGCCTCGTTGCTACAAGTTGAGGGTAGCCTCAATGCCTCCATGGCATTGTTTTTTTTTGAGGTGATCTTTTTAGACTTCTTATGGTCAATCTATTTGCCGACATCAGTTGGCCTGTCTCTAGCCTTTTTGTCTCTTTGTAATTCTCTGCCTCTCGTCTGCCTTGGCATAGGAAACTCTTAATTTCATGCACAAATTGAAATAAGTGAGTACAACACATTTTTGTGTGTTCATTTTGGAACATATAGTCTAGCACCTTTTTTTCCCCCCTTTCTGGGTTTCTGCTGGATTCTAAATGATTGAAATTAATAGATAGCTACCTTCTTCTTCTTCTTCTTCTTCCTCTTCTTCTTCTTCTTCTTCTTCTTCTTCTTCTTCTTCGTCTTCTTCTTCTTCTTCCTTATTTTTTTAGTTATATAAGACAAAAATGACTTACATAAACCTGGTGATGGATTTGTTTTGCTTTGTTAGCTCTCAATATGACATGTGTTTAAGAGTGCAAGCTCTGAGAGTCTGCCTGGCTACCTGAATCCAGACTCCAGGTCTACCACTTTCTAACTTTGGGATTAGCAATAAGATTTTAAATATAGTCAATTTCCTTTTTCTCTTTTTTTTTTTATTTTTTAAGTTTATTTATTTATTTATTTATTGAGAGAGAGCACATGCGCTTTATGCAAGGGAGGGGCATCGAGAGAGGCAAAGAGAGAATCCCAGCTGTTAGCACAGAGCCCAATGTAGGGCTTGATCCCACGAACTGTGAGATCATGACCTGAGCTGAAATCAAAAGTCATGTGCCTAACCAATTGAGCCACCCAGGTATCCCTCCTTTTTCTCTTAAATAGGGATAATGGTAGCAGCATCTAACTACTACTAGTGTATGGAAGAATATAAAGTGGCTTGTACCTGTAAAGTCTTTAAAACAGTGCCTGACCTTGTTGGGATGAGCACTGGATGTTGTATGTAAGCCAATCTGAACAATAAATTATATTCATAAAAGATAATAATAATAATAAATAAAACTGCCTGACATAAACACTCAAGTAAATATTTCTGTTACATGTTAATAGTTTTAAAACTGAATCATAACCATATTTTAAAATCATTTAAAATATGTGTGCTATACTGTGAATGCGAGCATCTCATAAAACTAGAAGGCTTCAATTTGGTGGTCAAGAAGCACAGTTTGAAAAATGTTACCCATCAACACTTCTGATAAGAACAGTTTTGATGGACCATTCTGGATCTTACATAATAAGATTCAGTGAGATTGGTATCTATCATAAATCCACATGGTGACAAGCTCAAAGCAATATTTCTTATCGTTTCTAATATCAGACCTACTGTTCACATATTTGGAGTTGAAACGTAGTAGGGACAGCTTTTGCCACTGCACATCAGAGCTCGGCCTTAGTGTCTGTTTTATGGTCTCACTGCACGTAAGGGGTAGCTTCCCTCCATGAGGGAACTTAAAGCGATATATTTTGCACTATTATGTTGAGATATAAAGGGCTATAAAATTATATGTATGAATGTTAGTTGTGAGTTACAACAAGATTTGTCATTCACCAAGGTGGATTTTTCTAATTGAAAGGGTGTTTGGGATGCTAGAGAAGTAGTTGGTTGCATCTCTGTGTAGTTCTGATGCTTTGCAAATGCACTTGACTCTAAATCAAGGCTGGATGTGGAGCCCCAGGTCCACTCCTTAATGACTGGGCAAGGTTTTATACTCTCTGTGCCTTGGTTTCATTACTGAGAAGTTGTTTTTGCGTCTTGCCTATTCTATAAAGTTGTTATGAGAGTCAAATAATATTACACGTGATAATGAGTGTGAAAGGTCTTCAAACCGTGGAGTATCCCAGAGCTCCTGGTGCTATGGTCATTATTAGAATATTGTCCACAGCCCCCGTGTCCCCCCACCTCTGTTCTCCCTGCTTTCAGCACCATCTATAGCCTCAGACAGGTCCATAGAGATTTCTCCTTGCCTCTTCCTCAGCATGTATGTGTGCACCTTCCTAATTGCATGTTCTTGGCTGGGTCACTTAAACCTCTGGGTGTCTGAATTATAATCTTAACATTTTTTTATATTTCTATTTTACTATATTTAATGTCTATTATGTAATTACACTAAAAACAATAATTATGTCACTATATATAATAATATAACATCATAAATACGTATAATCTCACAGAGGCTAAATTATCACAAAACGTAGTAGAGAAATCTTTAGGGTGGGTTTAGGGTCAGGCAGACCCATCTTTAGTAGCAACTGCAGCCCTTACAGGAGTGTGTGACCATGAGCAGTTGACACAGTCTTGGGTTCCCAATCCGTTCAAATGTACTTCACAGGATTACAATGAAATAATGTATATAGAACAGCCTAACACTTGGACAGGCAGGTAGTTGGTTGATCAATAAGTACCATTTCTCTTCTCCATGGCATTTCTTCCCAAGATGAGGTCTATGGGTCTGTGTTTCCTGTAGATTAAATATTTCATGGCTGTGTTGAAGCTTTAAAGGAAATCTCATGCTCTTTCATGCGTATGTCTTAGTCCTCCATCAAGAGTAGGGTCCAAAAGATCATGAGCCCCATGTTCTGCTTCTCTTGTGTTCCCCACAGCGCCTAGAGGAGCGTGGTAGACAAAAGGCCCAGAGTAAGGGACAGCGACAGCAGAGCAGGTGTAGAAGCACACTCTGCAGGGGTGCCATGCATTGTCACAGGGCTCAGTCCTGCACCCCAACAGTGGCAGCTCCGGGTCATGCTAGGAAGGAAGCAAGAAGTGGCCTTGTTGGAAAAACAGTGTGCCAGAGGCTGTGGCTACTAGATTTTTCCAAGGTTATACAACAGTAAGGGCAAGCAGGCTAGAAACTTGGAGGATTCCACCGTAATGGAGACTCGTGGGAAAGAATTGCTCAGTATTGGTTTGTGATTTTTCTCCTTTTAAGGAATCCCCCCTATGAGCGGAACGGGAACCCTGCAGATCTATTTACTTGATATTAATGACAATGCCCCTCAAGTGTTACCTCAAGAGGCAGAGACTTGCGAAACTCCAGACCCCAATTCAATTAACATCACAGCACTTGATTATGACATCGATCCAAATGCTGGACCATTTGCTTTTGATCTTCCTTTGTCTCCAGTGACTATTAAGAGAAATTGGACCATCACTCGGCTTAATGGTAAGAACAGGTTAATTATTTGACTATATGTGCAGTTGAGAGGTTTTGAAGCCTGATATGAAAAGTTAATTTTAGGTGCCTTATAATCTTCTCATTAAATATATTTTAAAGGCTACTTAAAGTTAAATAAGATATTAAAAGCTTCCACAGCTTTAAAAAAACCTTCATAATGCAGCATAGTTGTATTGCTCACTATATGCTGTTACGTAGTACATGCAGTTCTGGAATATTCTGCGTATTTTTATCGTATTATGTATTAACTACCAACTTTTTTTTTTCCTTTTTTCATGTAGGTGATTTTGCTCAACTTAATTTGAAGATAAAATTTCTGGAAGCTGGGATATATGAAGTTCCAATCATAATCACAGATTCGGGTAATCCTCCCAAGTCAAATATATCCATCCTTCGCGTGAAGGTCTGCCAGTGTGACTCCAATGGGGACTGCACCGATGTGGACAGAATTGTGGGTGCAGGGCTTGGCACAGGAGCCATTATCGCCATCCTCCTTTGCATCATCATCCTGCTCAGTAAGTAGTTGTATTGTCTCTTGGATTTTATTTTATTATTTTTTTTAATTTGTTTTTTTTTACATTTATTTTTGAGAGACAGAGTGAGACAGAGCATGAGCGGGAGAGGGGCAGAGAGAGGAGGAGACACAGAATCTGAAGCAAGCTCCAGGCTCTGAACAAGGGTTCAGCACAGAGCCCGATGCGGGACTCGAACCCACGAACCATGAGATCATGACCTGAGCCGGTCAGATGCTCAACTGACTGAGCCACCCAGGCGCCCCAGGATTTTATTTTTTTTTAATGTTTTTTATTTATTTTGAGAGAGAGAAAAAGGGAGAGAGCAGGAGAAGGGCAGCGAAAAGACGGAGAGAGAGACTCCCAAGTGGGCTCTGCGCTCACAGCCCGATGCAGAGCTCGAACCCCCGAACCTTGAGATCATGAGCTGAGTGGAAATCAAAGAGTCGGCTGCCTAACTGATTGAGCCACTCAGGTGCCCCTGTCTCTTGGGTTTTAAATTCTTTTCCCACCCTAGATGTTTTGCAAAGTAACTTTTTGCTGTTTACCTTTCAAAACAATCTAAACCACTCTCTTCAACCTATGAGCACTTTCTTGCCAAATTGTATATGGAGCAGTCGGGTCCACTTCCGAGGGAGAAAAACCCTGAGCACTGTTTCAAGCACTTACATGTTTGCAGCAAACCCAGCCAGTGCACTCCTCTCATGCCCCGTTGCCGTTTTCTGGCACTGATGGCTTGGCGAGCTGTAGCAAACTCTTTTCATAGGAAAATGTTAAACCATCTTCGCTAAGTTTGAGCACTCATGATTTGAGTATGAATTTATGACACGGAGTTGATGATTTAGGAAAATAAGTATATTGCTCTCCCTAGCTTTCCTTTATATAAAGCGCAGTCAGCAGCTAACTCCAGTCATGCAGGGATCAAGGTATTTGTTTCTGAAGGGCTACGTAAAATAGCGAGAGATTATACTTCATACAGCACATTTGATAATAGAAATGATTACACAGCTCAATAAATTGTCTGTCTTTAGAGCAAGTCTAGATTAAGGAACTGCTCCTTTTTCAGATACTTTGCAATCTTTGGTTCAGTGGAATACAAGAAATTAACCACTGGAAAGTCCTTTAGGAGCCCCTTCTAAGCATGCAGGTTAAAAGGATAAATTGCCTGGCCCTGTGTTTTATTGTTAAATAGCAGTAGGACTTAGTTTATTGCGTGATCATGCTACGCACCAATCACTTTCTTGAAAATGTTGGCCATTTCTTTTATGTTTTCTCCATTTACAAGTGTTCTGGTAATTTAGAATTCTGTCCCTTTATTCTAAGCAATTACCATAGAAGCCTGAGCATTTTTTACTTCCTGTGTGGAGACTACTTTGACTATAATTTGAAACCTGCATTGCTGTACTAATAATCCACTTGCTAGATTTAGCCCTGGAACAATGGCAAATGAGATCATGTATCTGGCTTTAAAAGGAGGATATTTACTTTTATGGCCAATAATAAAAATGTGCTCAAATAGGAGTCATTAAATCTCTTGCTTCAGGATGTAAACTGATATTCTCAGATTTTAGAGAGAATGCGCTCTTCGATGTGCACTTAGGGACATGTTTCCATTTGAACTAAAATGTGGCATATATGCCAACCTTATCAGGAAAGACTTCGACATGACGGACTTTGGCATAAGGGGTGACTAGCATTTTGAAGGAAAATGAATTGGTGCTGATTTTAACATCAACCCTCTGGAAGATTCATGGTGCCAGATCTGGCACAAAAATGTAAAGCCTGAAAGCCTGATGTTATTTCAGTGCACCAACGAATCCCGTCGGCTTCTTAACCTGAAACGTGCAGTTTAATAGGAGCGGGAATGCAGAATGGCGTAGTAGAAAAGCACAGCCTTTGGGAGCCCAAAATCCTCAAGATCCAATTGGCGATCCAGTTCCGATTTGCTCCCCAAGTCATCCTGGCAAGCACTTACCTTCCTTGGGGAGTACTGTTCCCTCTGATTTCCGAGGGTATAATGATGGCCGAGCAACCTCAGTGAAATAGCAGTTACATATGGGGCGCCTGGGTGGCGCAGTCGGTTAAGCGTCCGACTTCAGCCAGGTCACGATCTCGCGGTCCGTGAGTTCGAGCCCCGCGTCGGGCTCTGGGCTGATGGCTCAGAGCCTGGAGCCTGCTTCTGATTCTGTGTCTCCCTCTCTCTCTGCCCCTCCCCCGTTCATGCTCTGTCTTCTCTCTGTCCCAAAAAAATAAACGTTAAAAAAAAAAAAAAAATTAAAAAAAAAAAAAAAAAAAAAAGAAATAGCAGTTACATAACAAGTAACAATTTAACTTACTATTGTTTGTTGGTTTAGAATTTACAAGCCCTTATATTAGGAGTATCCTATCCTCCAGCAAGCAGAAGGGAGAGATGGAAATGGTTCTCATCCCTATCTGTAAATGATAATATTGAGGATGGACATTTAGCCAGTGAGTTCAAAGGACACCAGGTTCTGGAACCCAGGGTTTCACACTCAGTACCCAGTGCTTGAACCCTGCTTTTTCTTCTCTCTCTTCACGGGAGGCCAGAAAGAGATAAGAGAGAGGAAGCTGCATTACAAGCTTTTGACCCATATAAGTGTGTTAGTGGTATTAAAGGCTATGATGAGAAAGGTCGTGTTTTAAAAGCTATGACATTATGCTTTTTCTTACTCTTTTTCCACCTAGTCCTCGTTCTGATGTTTGTGGTATGGATGAAACGCCGGGATAAAGAGCGCCAGGCCAAGCAACTTTTAATTGATCCAGAAGATGATGTAAGAGATAATATTTTAAAATATGATGAAGAAGGTGGAGGAGAAGAAGATCAGGTGAGCTACATTTTAAACGTTTAAAATGGAATTTTGTGATCCTATAATCTCAGTGGTAGAACAGATGTTAATGTGTGCAGTAAGAAAATGGTATCAAGGTTCCTTTGCTTATCACATTATCAAATACTTGGTGGGAATTCTTCCCTAGGTGTCCTTCACGTTTCTTGAATTTTTTTTTTCAAAGTGCCAGATGTCACTGTATTTATTTTGTAAGAAAATCACTAACATTGTTTCAAGGAGCTAGGACTTAAACCCAGCTTCAGTTAAAATAATGCTAATAAAAATGTGTCTCTTTATATGTCCCCTTCATTGGATACCCAAAATAGAAGTAAAAGTGGCTTCTACAATGGGATTTACATCTACTATATACACAAGACAAGCACTAGATAATTCATTCTACAAATATTTACCAAGCAAGTTCAATATTCCGGACACTATTTTGGTCACTGGGGATATGGAAGTGGGAAAAGTCAGCAAATATTTGCCCTCAAGAGTCTTACATTCTTGAGAAGTATTTGAAATTAGAGACAATAATTTCTAGTTCATCTTTGTATCTGTAGTGTCTTTCATGATGCCTGGCTCATAGTAGTTGCTCAACAAATGTTGAAGTTCCCATCTGGCTATAATATAGCGTGAGCTTCTGTATCACTGTGTACATGGGGCACTGTATATGCATTCAGAGTTGAGAGTGACCAGAAGGGGAAACACAAAGATCTTTATGTGCAGATTTTAGGTATTATCCCAGCTAACACTTAGAATGCCTGCACATTCCAGGCATTCTACCAAGTACATTATATGCTATTATCTCTTAAATCTTTGAAACTTGTGATACTATTCTATGAAAGTCTCTACTTTTGTGATAGAAAACAGAGCTAAAGGTGATGGGACTCTCAAAAACAAGTAAGAAGTGATAGATACAAGATTTGAATCCAGGTCTGTCTGATGTCACAGCCTAAACTAACTGCTCTGATATAGTTCCTCTTGCAATTACCTGGAAGATACTAATGTAATCCACAAGACATCACCATGACAAGCATTTTTTTTTTAGATACTTTGTTAATTAGGTTATTTCCATGTACAAATGCAAACTTTGGGGCTGTGGTCAAAAAAAGAGCCCAGAGGGGCACCTGGGTGGCTCAATCTGTTGAGCATCCGACTTCAGCTTGGGTCATCATCTTGTGGTCCATGATTTCGAGCTCCATGTCAGGCTCTGTGCTGACAGCCCAGAGCCTGGAGCCTGCTTTGGATTCTGTGTCTCCCTCTCTCTGCCCCTCCCCCGCTCACAGTCTGTTCTGTCTCTCAAAAATGAATAAACGTTAAAAAAAATGTTTTTAATAAAAATAAATAAATGAATAAATAAGAACCAGAATCCTTGGGTCTTGGATCATTATCAGTAAATTCAAATCTACTTTGTCTTAAATATACATGTAGACATTTGTGATAAGACTGTTAACTTGAATAAAAGCAAATTTTCCTGAACATATTTTCTCTTCTCTACTCATTTGAGGAAATAATGTATCACTTTTTGTTTTACAAAGCAGTTCACATCCTTGTTGTGTTCAGTATTTATGGCAACCCGTTAGAGTTTTCTATTTTACACTTGTAGCAAGTTGTGTGATTTGCTCTCAGAGTTTGTAACTGGCAAAGCCAGAACTGAGACCCACGTTTTCTGATTCCAGATTCCATGCTTGGTTTACAGAACCTCAACTCTTGCATTTAGAAGAGATGCTTATTAAAATATGTTGAAAACTTGACTCATGTGTAAAGCTGCTTTGAATACTGACTAATTAAAGTGGCTCTATAAATATGCCCCAGGGTTTCTTGCTTATAAATGTCTTCGGATATTAAAATTCATGTTTGGCTTAATCCTTAATTAATCTATCCTTTCACTTTCCTGAGCTATGTTCAAGATCAGCAAACGTGTATCGATCACGTTACCTCCTAAGTCTACTCTCGGTATTTTAATTTTTTATGTCATTGTGCATAACTTTCTAGGCATAAATCTAAACCCAACTCCGTGAAGCTTCAGTATAAATGGTACTAACTGGAAGGCCAGCAGTCATAATGGGATCTTGCGTAGAATTGGAGGCCCAGAGGCAAGAGGCAAGATCGTTCTCAACATCTGAGAGTTTGGATCAAGGCACTCACTGCCACCTGATCTGCCTCTCTTTCTCCCTCCTCCCATCCAGTCCCTTTGAGAAATTGTTTCATGAGGTTTTATTGTTGTAGTTATTTTAGGAAGGACTGATTTCCTTTATTGACTTTATCCACATAGATTGATTCTTGAGATCAAATAGTCGAAGTTATCTATTGCCAGATTTATTAAAATCATCACCATAAATCTTCAGCCTCTTCTTTTACTGACCTCTGAAGTTTTCTTTGTCCCTAGCTAAGCTTTTAGGCATGAATGTTTTGTTTCCTACTCACTTCCCCAGTAATCCAAGGATTTTCCTGGAACTTTCTCTATATTGTCTTCTGTGTCTAGTATCTTTATTTAGTATTGGCCTTGCGATGGTATCTCTTGGTAGCCACTTGGTTCTTTGGTGCCATGCTCATCTAGATCAAAAGCCTGTGTCCATCGTGGTGTCTGTGTTATGATTTCCACTTGCAGTCCTCATTATAGAGAAACCTGTGAGAAAGTTACATAACGGGGTTTTTATTTATTGTATGATTTACCTCATAACAGCAGAATAAAATATGCCCTGTAGGAATGCTACACCGAGGGTTCTGTCTCTTCTACCTCTGAAGTGGTTTGTGAAATCCATTTGCTTATCTCCATCACCAAGGCCACTGCCTTCACTTAGAATCATCACTGTTCCCCAATAGCATCCTAATGAGTTTCCTGTCTCTGGTGTCACACCCCCATCAGCTCTCTGTCAGTTATCAAATCCGGACTTCCTCTTCAGCCTGACAAGGCTTTGGCCCTTTGGTGCACACCCTTAGCGAGCAGATAGAGGGTTGTGGGAAAGAGTTGTAGACACTCCCTCAAGATGTGAATCTGTCAAGCTTGTCCACTCGTGGCCACTAAAGTTTTCTTGCAAGTCTGAATGATTTGTCCTCATGTTCCTCTCCCTACCTTTCTTGTTGTTGTTCAGGACATAGTTTCTAAAAATATTGTATTTATTGGCTTTAGTGCTTCCTTTTTATTGAAGTGTAGTTGACACAGAATGCTATATAGTTTCAGGTGTACAACATAGCGATTTAACAAGTCTTTGTGTTCTACTGTGCTTATCACACGTGTAGCTGCCATCTGTCACCATCCAACGCTGTTACAATACTGTTGACTATATATATTCCCTGTGCTGTAACTTTTATCCCTGTAACTTATTCATTCCATAACTAGAAGCCTGTACCTCCTTAATCACAGAATCCACTCTCTCCTCCTCCAGAGATAAAAGCAACAATAGGTCTTATTTTTCTTAGAAAGAGCTTGTTAGCTTCTTTATTTTTATTCAGTGGACCTCATTATGTTCTCAGTTATCTTATGGTTTCAAAAATCTGTGATGTGGTAACTTACCTGGCTTATTCTTTGTATTAGAATGTGAATAATAGTCCCATGAGTTCCTATATCCCAACGAGAAGCAGAAGGCTTCTTATAAGGTTTAAGAATGTAACCAACCATGCATATCAATAAAAGCATTTCCAGCACCCGGGAGCCTCTCTTGTATCCCCTGCCAGGAAGGATGCTGTCTGGCAAAAATAACCAGTATTTTTTATTTCCATCACCATGGAACAGCATAACTGGGCTTTATATTTCATTATGTAAATGGATATCGTATAGTAGGTACTTTTTGTTTCTGGCTTCCTTCACTCAGACTTCTATCTGTGAGATTCATCCATGCTATATACAGAAGTAGTTCATTTTTATCATTGCTGAAAAGTATTCTTTTGTAGGAATTAACCACATTTTATTCATCCATTCTACTATACTTGGACTGAGTTCATACAATTGAATTGTTACGAATAAAACTGCTATGAATATTCTTTGCGCGCACGTGTGTGTGTGTGTGTGTGTGTGTGTGTGTGTGTGTGTGCATTTCTGTTGGTATGTCCTCAGGGATTGGAATTTCTGTATCCTAGAATGTGTCTGTGTGCAGCTTTAGCACAATCTTGCCACTTTTCCAAAGGGACAGTACTGGTTGGCCCCTCCCCTTGCCATGCTGGTGCATGATGGTTCCATTGCCCTACGTCCTCACCAGCACTTTGCTTTTTTCAGTCTTTAAATTTCAGCCACTAAGATGGCATGTGTCTCTGTATGATCTAATCAGGATGTTCTTACTGACTGACTTACCATTTTGATCTCTTTGTGAGGTCTCTGGCTTCTGTGTCCCCTTTTCTGTTATGTTGTCTGCCTCTGTCTTATTGATCTGTAGGAGGTCCTTATATATTATGGATATCATTTCTTCATCAGATAGATGTTTTGTCAATAGCTTTTCCCATTCTGTAACTTGCTTTTTTATTCTCTTAATGGTGTCTTATGATGAACAAAAGTTTTTAATTTTAATGAAGTCCAGCGTATCAATTTTATTCCATTATGGTTAGTACATTTATGTCCTTTAGTTTAAGAAAACTTTTCCTACCGAGGTAATGAGTTCTCCTTCTGAAACGAAAAGTAAATAAATAACATAAAACAAAACACAGCAACTTCATGTTGTCCTCTTGAAGCTTTATTGTTTTACCAGTCATACTGTCTGTGATCTATCTCTAATGGATTATTCATTTGGTATAAGATACTTATCAGAGCTCTTTTTTGTTTTCTTTCTTGATATGCAGTGCTGTTTACTACAGAGATAGCCCTCTCCACTGCACTGTAGGGCCCACTTGTCAGAAAGCAGGTCACTCTACACGTGTGGGTCTGTGGGTTGGCTGCCTGACCCCGTACTATTCTACTTGTGCCATCTGCCTGTTCTTGGGCCACTACCACCTGTTTCCGTTGCTGTCACTTAGCAGTGTCTTCATGTCTTTTTGTACAGATCCTCTAACTGGATTCATCAAGATTT